GTGTTTCTATTTTTTTCCACAAAAAAAAAAAAGGAAAAAGCATGGAGTACTCAGAGGTTAGAAAGTGCTCACATGTATGTATGTTCGTCATTTCATTACAGTTCCTAACCAAAATGTGTCTGTGATAGAGAGAGAAAGAGTGCGTGTGAGCGGAAGCACATTTGAATCCATAATTTAGGCAGAGATATAGGTGGAGGTGGGAAACAAGTGGGCTTGACTTATATAAAATATTTTTTAAAAGTTGATTAATTTTTGAAGTTTTGACTTATTCAAAAGGTTTAGAGCTGAGTCCATAAACCTTTTATTATTTTTTTATTTTTTAAAAATTAAAAATTTTAATTATAATATTTCGTATTTTTAAAATATAAATTATAATATTAAAAAATTAAAGAACATATCTTCATAGACCAAGAACTACAAAATCGCCCCTTTCATTCTGGGGTGACAGTGGGATCATACCATTCAAGCCTTTTTTTCATTCTTTTCTCGAGGGTTTGGAGAAAATTGCAATTAATAGGATTTTTCTAATCCTCCCTTCCTGAAAGGAAGAACGTAAAAAATAAATAATAAAAAATTTAATTTTAAAATATGGACCTATATTTTAAAGTTTAAATTTAATTCAAAAAATAAAAATGTTTTATTTTTTTGGAATTAAAATGAAAAAAAAGGCTTAAAAAGGCTGTTGTATCCCTTTTTTTAGGTTTATCAAGGCTGGGCTTTAAAGCCCAAATTTCCTAAAACATGTCATTTTTTAACTCTAACCCTTATAAAAATGAGTTTAAATGAATGGCCTGTCAAGCTTGACCTTTATTTCTGGCTCTAAATATAGGAGTGCAATGAAATTGATCTTTCAAATTGTGTTTTCTATGGAAGGGATGGTAGCGAACTATTTTCAAGACAAAACCAATATAAGGACCAAAACTCCTTTTTCATATTCATGATACTTCTTTCATTCAAAAATATAAAGTATTTTTAACCGAATCTCACTTCTCAATAAAGTAGTTACCTACTTTCAAACTAACTCTATTTATTTATATTTATCTCTATCAAACACTCTATAATAAATATAAAGTCATTCATTAATGGGAACATTTTTTAAAAAAGACAATGATTGCACCTTGAAAGACTATAAATATCTTATATTTTTAGACGGAAGGAGTATTTATTTAGTTTGTCTCTTCCTTTTATTAAATCAGAAATATTATCTTAACAAGGTTTGATTAGAAACATAATTTTGACGTAAACATTTATTTTCGTGACAATTGTACTCTTTAAATCTTAAAATTTTTAATTCATAATGTAAACATTTATTTTCGTGACAATTGTACTCTTTAAATCTTAAAATTTTTAATTCAAAAATATACTTCTTTTTATTCAGGCTTAATCCTATGATGACATCATATTTGAACAAAATTTACATTTTTTTAATAAAAAAGGTTTAGATAAGTTGGTTTTTGAATGTTTACTAGACTTAGAGCATGCTTCTAGATTCAATTTTAAATCACCTACTAACAAGAGTTTAGTATTAATAGTGAGATTTGATTTCACAATTTTATAAATTATAAATCAATTTTTTATTAACTAGACTAATTTTTGTTGTAAATTTACACAATTCTACATATGCTAAATTTTATGCAAGAGGACAGCCTTTCACAAACTGCCCATCTAAAGTATAGTGCCCTTCTATCCACTAAGTGGATGGTTGTTATGGGCATTTGATATATAGTACACTTAGTTTAATAATATAAATCAATGGGCATTGTTGTTGTTTAAACACTTGATCAAAATAATTCAAAATTACGATGAAAAAACTCAGTTAAGAAAAATGACACTAACATACAAGAGTATAAATATAAAATAGGAAAAAATTATTTTCAAAATCACATGAGAGACATATTTTATATTAAAAATAAAAGGGAAGAGATTTGAATTGTCACTACAAGGATACCTATATTTAATATTTAACTGTCTCGAGCAAAATTATCTCTTAGTATAAGCACAAGCAAGTAAACTTGATCTAATACATCCATTTTTTGAGGTCAATAAATGTGGCTAGGCGAGCTTGAACTCTCCACGTGCAGTCTCTCCATGTTACTTTTAGAATTTGGTTTGAATATGATATGTTTTTTAAACTGAATTCTCACCAAATTAAATGAAAGAATCATGCTCAACCAATTAAATATACACGTTTCATCGAATGATAATAAGCACATGTATAGAGAAGTTTTTCCTTTTTCTCGTACCTAGACTTTGGATATAAAGATTCATAAAAATGATTTTTTTATATATATATATATATATATATGGTGGGAATTACAATAGGAAAAGGCACAAAGAGAAGAAGAGAATCTGATCTGAACACAAGCAAAAGAAGGGTGGGAATTTAATGGGTTTGACAACCACATGAAGAGAAGGCTCCAAAAAAAAAAAAATGAGCCATATAATTTTATCTCTTCATCCGTTCTTCACTTTAAGTATCTCAACACGTGTCAAAAGTGAGAAAGCCCATGCTCTCATATATTCTATCTCCATTTCTCAGATACCCTCCCATCTTAAAATTAAAAAAAAAAAAAAAAGCCTATTTCTGGTAGGAGGCAGAGTATATCTGGTTTCATCTCTATTAATTTCCTCATTTTAACTTATCCACTTGCTTTATTTGATTCAATCCTTCAACATTCTGTCCAGTCAATTCACAATAACCAATGCTCGTATAGTATGACCCATTTGGACTCAAAAAATTAAAGAACCCTCACCTTCATGCTGGGAGTAAATTACGTATATAAATAGAGTTAATCTCATAAATTATACTTACAATTGTGAGTGAAACATAGGGAATAATATAACTTTTAATCCCTAATCTCTTCTTAATTATTGATTTATAAATTATTAAACTTTGACTCAATATAATTTTGTCCCTGTACTTTATTGAGTTAAAAGAAATTATAGAGCTTGAGTTGTACCAAATCAAAAAAAAAAAATTAAGAGTCAAGTTGTTTCAAATTATAAAACTAAAAGGATTAAGTTGTTTTGAGTCAAACATTAAGAACTAAATTAATAGTTGTGAACAATTTCAATGACCAAAGGCTATATTTTTCTAATAAAAAATTATGTAGTTCTTACCCAGATTTAGATTGGATGTCATAGACAGATAAATTCCGAAACAATATAGCCATTTCTTTTTTTTGGTTGGATCTTAATGAATCTGTTAAATGATCAGGATTGAGCCATTTGGATTTTCTGATTTTTCCCAATAAAATGGCTAAGAACTCATAAGTTTTTTGACGAAACTGAACCACAGAATGCAACAACTGGATTTCAAATTGGGCGAGAGCCGTATAGGGGACTACTCATAGTTCCCTTTTGGTCTGATTCACAAATAACGCATATTCACTGCAGGGGGATCGGATGTATCTATTTCTGTCAAACCATCATTGGTCCTTCTTCTCGATCACAAATCTCCACTCATAAAGCTTCTACTTTGGATTCTTGGGTTGCTGTGACCTTTCTTCAAATGCTTGCCACTGAAATATACATCAGCTCCAGATGATGGATTGGAGAAACAGCAAAATATGGATGATAGGCCTATGTGAGCCTCAAGATTTGCCTCTTACCTTTTAGTATCAATTTCTTCTTTGTCATTGGCTTCTTCCCTAGCTTAGCGTATCTCCACTGATCACAAAGGGGTTCGTTTTTTTTATTCGCTGATCGATGTTGTGGTGACCAGCATCACATTTTTCACCGTGAATAAAATTCTCATCTAATCCTCTTTTCTGATCTGTCGTCTCTTTCCTTCCAACAAGTAAAAACGTGGCTGCCGAGGCTCTTAGAGATCGATCACTTTGTTAGCAAAAGGATATAATGCCAAACAGTAGGAACTATATATATATATATATATATATAACAAATGACACATGCATAATAGCATCATCAATAATAATGAATACTTTCCTTTACATTGGGCACTCTCTATATATCTGTTTAATCATTAGCTATCTTTCTTTCCTCCATGAGTATATACATTTTTTATTTGCTGATTTACCGAAGTAAAGATTACTGAATGAGGATGATATAACTGGTTCTAGCTAAGTACACTAACTACAGATCACACGCCCCTAACTGGTTATGATAATAATGAATTTCAAAATGACTTTAATTAGTCAAATAATCTAGGGCACGCCCGAACTATATGAGTAGACTAGAAAAGGGAAGACTTGGTTTAGATTTAAAACAAAGCAAAAGGCTTAAAATAACTCCCCATTTCCTTTCGATTTTGGTCAATTCAAACGAGAAGGATCTAGCAAACTCAAAGTTTACTGCTTCAAGAAATCTTGCCTTCATCAGGCGCGCTCCACAGCACCACTGCCGTGTCCTTCCAGAAAATAAATAGCAGTACTGAGACCATACCTATATATCTATATATAACTTATTTACATGTCTATATCGAAATTCTTTTACCGACGAGCCAATGGTCCTTCTTCCTGAAAAATATTTCATCATCCAGGGTCGATCATAGATTAAACCCCTCTAGCCAGCAAGATCATCAAGTTGTACATGAAATAAGAGGTCCATATAATAGTAGATCATCGAAAAATGATTTTCCCTTGCTCGCCCTCTAATCTACTGAGCACGTACGATGGAGAAATTGTTATATCAATACCATCTAATTTGACAGTTCAGAAAAACTGTTTTGTTCAGTGACTCTCAATCCATTTAAATTGATCATTCTGAAACAAGTTGGCTTATATATGAATGCAAGCTTAGTGTGGTTCATTAATTCTAGATCTCTGTAGATATACAGATGACAATTAACAAGTGATGATGAATATTCAAGATCGCCTTCTGCAATATGCTAGTGTAGTCTGATTAATTCTTTCAATTCATCGATCACTGTGTGTGTATCATGCATGCGATGTTGAAGTTACATCATGAATCCCAAATCATGAAGAAACCCATATACTGAGGATGATGTGATGACAAAAGCATTATGCGAATTACAGCGTAACAGAAACTACACTATGAACTTATATTATCATAGTTCTGAATTACACATATCTGAGGATCAACTTATTGCAACACCACTGTTATTGTATGTAACAATAACGTAGGCATGAGATTGAGGAATTGAGCATAAAGTCACAGAAACTGAGAGATAATATGCAGACAATATATGTATGTATATATGGAGTAGAGTTTCAAGCCCGTTTAAGAACACAGAAATTGAAAAACGAGTTATAAGGATCCCACTGGAACCCAATCTCGTCCCCTTTCTTGAGCTCCCTCCTTCTGACGAAATCTTGGTTCCACTTGCCTATGAAAACATAGCTCTTGGAGGAAGGCCATCGCTTGAGGACGAGGTGGTGCATGGATTTGGAATCCAAGTCCCAAACCCTAACGGAGGTACCTTCGTCGGAGTCGGCGGCTATTGCATGATCGAGGCCCAGCATAGGAAGGATCTGGCTCCTCACCAAATCCGTGGCCAGCAACAGACGGCTCGAGATTCCCAGATCGCTTTCGGTCAGGATCTTCTTGATCTTCCACGGATCTTCGTACAGCTTCAGCGTCGTCGACACTCCTCCTCCTCCTCCTTCGTTCTTGCTGCTGCAGAATCGTCGCCTTGAAGCTCTGGAAGCTTCTGGGTTCGTGTGTTTTCTTCTCTTTGCCGCGAACTGTACTCCCCTCTCTTGATCATCTGTTGGGCTATTCATGATGCAGCAACCGCTTATCTTGAAATATACAGCAGCTTTTGATGTTGGTGATGATATATGTAATGACTAATGAGTGTAGTTTGATTTTGAGCTCAAATGAAAGGACTAGCTGGTAGTATATATAATTGATGGGAATCTCGACTTCATGCTACTTCAATTCTTTGATCAAAAAAGACTTCATACTGCTGCGTGCGGTTTCTAGTGAATTGTATTCCCATGTCTCATTCCTTGTTTCCTTATCCTGCCTTTATATACGCTGGAATTTTTTTTTTTTTGGGAAAAAACGCAGGAATTTTTTTTTATAAACTATATACGCATTATTTTACCTAATTTACGTTCTCAATAAATTAACTATTAACTACTTTTAATCTTTAAAATTACATATTTTTATTTAATAGAAGTCTCAATTAAAAAAAATCTTACTAATTACACTTTTAGTTAAAGATATTTTTGTAAAAAATTGTTAACTACATTTTCAATCAAAATATTTTATATTTTTAAATATGATATTTTATTAAAAAAAAGTGACTTATATTTTTAAATGGAGTGATTGTATAATAATATATAAGCACAGTCAGCAATCAAGTTTGATGGTTTCTGGTGGATGTAAAACATCAAATTATAACAGTTCCGTTATTTCTAATTCTAAATGCTTAAACTTGTTTTCACCGTATGTACACCAAATATTAAATAGTTATATAAAAATACTAATAAATTTCGTTAATTATTTATGAAGTTTGGACACTCCATACAATACATGGGGCCTACATTGATTTGCAGTAGAAAGAATGGAACTTTTTCTTACCAAAAGTTAAAAAGAATGAAGCCTGGAATGCCATTCTTAAGTCTTTAGCCTTTGGCAGGTACGGAATGGGATAATTAAGAATATCCTTGCGTGCCACTTTCCACATCATGTAACATCACACGGACGAATATTAACAGCTCATTACTTCTAAATAGTTTAAAAATAATTTTTATAATTTAAATTTATAATTTTTTAACAGGTGTTTTTTAAATAAAAAAACTATTTTCTAGAAAATGATAGTTAAAAACTTATCTTTATTTTAGATTCTGCATTCATTTAAATAAATTTTTCTGAAAAAATAAAAGCAAAAAACTGTAAATCTAGATTATCCCAGATTAAATTTAAACAGTCTAAAAATAATAAGTTATTAGTGCCCATTTGTAGGATGAGCATTGAAGGTGACTTCTCCATTTGTCATAGGTAATGATTTAATTTAAAAAATCAATAAATTTCTGTTAATTACTCATCACTTTAGTCAGGTTTTATTAATGTCTTGCATTTAAAATGACTGTTGGAAGTGTCTCTCAAAGGTTGGACCTTTATAATTATGTTCGAAGTTTCATCTCTGAGTTCGAGTTTTAAAAACACACGTCTCTAGCTAGTCTTTGGATTTTTGGATTTAAATTTTGAGAGATTCACGTACGTTGCCAGCTTTGCACGCGAGTTTTATTCTCTTTTGTCATATTTGTCATTGAAATTTAATTTATATATTATTTAAATATTTAAATAAATTCTACCGCGTTTGTTGGTTTTTTTTTTTTAAATTGCTTATCCTTCTATCAGAGCTAATTATTCTTTTTTATTTTATAACAAGGTAATTATTCTATTTGAGGAATATTAAGGCACAGTCAAGTATTACTTGAAATTAATACTTCTTCTAATAGAGATTCATACTGTGACAGACTGGATAACCCCTTTTACTAAGTCCTATCTTTATTGGTTACGATGTTTGTTGGTTTTACTTTCTTTTTTTTTTTCTTACTCGGTCAGATAATTCATTTGATCTACTTATTATTAGGATTATAATATATTTTTAATCCTTTAATTTTATATAAAATTTTATTTTGGTCCATGTATTTTGATAAAGTATTTTTTTCAATATTTTAACTGAATACATTAACTTCATTAAAATAAAATATATACATTAAACTTTTAAATATTGACACAATATTTTAAGTGGTAGCACATTAAGTTTATTTTTTTAAATAACTATAATTGACTTAAAAATAATTATTTAAAACTAACGGTGGTAGTAGTTAATGATTAAAAAATATTTTATAAAATTAAGCTAAAATAAAATTTTATGTAAAGTTAAAGAATCGAAAATATTCTTTAGCCCTTATTATTAAATATTTATTTTGAAAAATCAATGAAAAGAGATAAAGAAACATTAATTATCAAAAACTAAATTTGAAAAAAAAAATCAATTTGACATGAAAAAACTAACTTCAACTAGTTTTTAAGTACATGTAAGACATATAGGCAAGTTCTAACTTATATTTATAATCCTAACATAATGTCATGTCAAGAAGCAAGAATGCTCAACTCGCCCTGCTTATCGCTTAAGCAAGTAGGTGGAATTCGATTATTTTTTCAATTTTTGTTGGAGAATAAATCCAATTATAAAGGATTTCTCTTTATATATCCTTGATGATATTGTATTTGTCTTTGTTTCCAACTGTATTGCAAAAAAAAAAAAAAAAAAAACTTACAACGGGTACACACGCACGCACACGTTCTAAGAGCCTTGAAAAAAACTGCAAAGTGGATTCTTAGGATTTAAGGGGAAGCCACGCAGTTAAATAAAATGTTATGAAGAAAGATGGTGAATTACATAAATCTAGTCAAACAATTGCAATAAATAAATAAATTTCTTTCACTGTCAATGATTTGAGAATAATTAAACTCTATTATTTATGAATTCTAGCAAATTTGTCTTTTATGATATCTCAACTCTAGCTAGTAATTGATTTCATCTTGGGATTTTCTTTTCAAATCACATATAATTAAAAATAAATTAATTATTAAACTCAACGTGATATATCACTCCTTCCAGTGTCATACGCGAGAGACTTCTTTCAACATGGTTTGGTTTCCAATAGTATAAAAAACAAATAGTAATGGCTAGTTCATTAATTGCTTTAATCCAACTCCATTAATTATTAATTAACGCAGCAATATAGTGTTCATCAGGCATTAATTGTTTTTCATATATGCGTGTTGAGTGGGAATTAAATAGGGGCATTAATTGTTGAAAAATCCTCACGCGCAAGACTTTATACTTAGTCTTATATATTTAACATAGTTTTATCCAATCATATCAAGACATGTGAATTTTAATGTATTAATAATATCAATAACAAAAGTTTGTTATCTAATATATGATGTATAATTTAATTAAAAACAAACACTTTAAGTATATAAGGCTGAACATATAAGTTTATGGATGAATGAACAAACTACTCTATGAACTTTAGGTCCAAAAGCACATTAATCCTGAACTTGTGTATTATATAAATTATTTTTTTAACTTTTTAAAATAGTACAATTTGGTTTTTGGTCCCCTTTTATAATTTTTGAGGTTATCTTTTTTTTTTTGTCAACTAACAGTCAAAATTAAACTTTTGCTAACAGTAGGGGCCATATTATATCATTTATGTAAGAGTTAAGGAAATAATTTGTATAATAAATAAGTTAGGGTTTATGATGCTACTTGATCTAAAATTCAGAGAATAATTTGCTTGTTTACTAAAGTTTTTTGAAAAATGATTTTTATTTGGGACAAAATTATGAATTTCAATTGCTTTTAACCAATTTTATTAATCTATGTGAATCAGTTATCTCTCACCTGTTTCCTACACAAGAAACTAGAGGAAAAAATAATTTTATCAATAAATGATAAAGTAACAATGATAATTCATAATATTTTGTATGATAGTGTTGGCTCGTTGTTTCAAAGAATTGGTTAGAGTATCATGCTTTTTAGAGGTGTGCTAGATGAGCATGTTTTCAAAATTGTAAGCTAGATCAGATGATCTAGTAGGTTTTTAAAGTTTTTTATTACAATTTCTTTAAAGTGTTGAGTAATTGTGAGAAATTGTGAGTACGCCAAGTGACATGTAGGATTTTGTTGTATTACTGATGCATTAATACAGTAAGTGTTCCATGGGGACAGAGGGAAGGAGAAAAGTACAAATTAGGCTACGAAACAAAGTTTGTTTAGATGAATGAGTTCACACGAAGTTGGTTAATGCAGGGTTAAAAGTTTATAATTTGTGTTGGGCAAGTCTTGATAAGTTTTGGTAGAGTATCGAAATCCTTCTATTATGTGCTCGTCACCTATTTATAAAAAAATAAAATGGCACCAGAAGAAGCAGATAATTGTTTGCTATATTAAATCACCAAGGATGTATTTTATCATGTGAAATGGTGAGAGCAAGTGTGCCGAAAAATTCAGGTAAGTTAGAGTGGGCGTCATTGACTTCTTTAATATCCCAATTTTAAATTTTGGAATTTAAGTAACATTAGGATGAGATTTCATGAAAATTGAAAATTACCATGTAATAATTGAGTAAGGAAAGTTTTACTTAAAAAAATTAAAATATATTTTTTAAAAAAATAAAGGTTAGGTGAAGTGAAAAGGGATATTTAAAATACATGTTTCAAATTATGATATTATAATTAGTTAATTATATTTTATTAAAAATTATTTAAAAAATAAAAATACATAAATTCAGGTCAAACCTTTAAATTTTCATGATCCTGAAAATTTTATTATGTATATATATATATATATATAGATATAAATACATAAATACACACACAGAAACGTGAACATCCACCCGCCCACCACGTGTTTATCACCGATGTGCCATATGCCTTTCTTCGTTCAATGCCCGAGGTGAGAGGCAGTATCATTTTTCTGTGCGGCGTTCGCAGAATAGCGAGAGCCGGATGTCGAGAGGGAGCTAGAGGGATCGCTGGGCAGCTTCAACTGAGTGCCGTGAGGTCTTCAAAATTCAAGACTCGGTTGTGTAACTTCTAAAAATATATTTAAATTCAAACTATATTTTAAAATATATTTTTATTAAAGTTAATAAATAGTTGGATTTTTTTATAATTTTTTTATATGTAACTAAAAAACTAAACACATACTTAATCTATCTCATATAAGATTTCTAAAATTTAGGTAAGTGATCTAGCTTCTTATCTTTTTTTTATATATATTTTTGGGTTTTGATAAGATAAAAAAAATATAGAGCTAGATAGATTTTAAATTTATTGAGCATTTCTAATTGATTATTGGGTTGTTAGAAGAGTTAAAAGGTTAGATCAAGAATTTTATATTATTAGTTTGCTCAAAATATTGATTTTGAGGATTCTAAGGTAGG